ACCTAAACAAGCCACACTTTTCATCTCCTTTGGTCAGCCAGGCTCTCTAACCCGCTGAACACCCCACTAGCCCTTCCCTGCACCTGTTCCAGCTTGAATTCCTCTTTCCTGGACATGGGCAACTAGAACTGTACAGCACATTCCTGAAAAGTGTCCAGTAAAGGCCATTACAATAGCATTAGTACACCCTTATCTCCAAGGAAATAAATCCCCAATAATCTGCCTTTTCCACAGATGCTTCAGCTGTGAGCACCAAGACCCCTGTGGTCAGCCAGTACACTCAGTCTTCCAAGAGACAGCAAACTGCATTTGTCCCAAAACACACTCCTGAAAAAACCCTGCTGACAAGCACTGGAGTGTCATGACTGAAACACTACACCGGCATTAAAGGAATAGCTTTATCCTATCAAATTTAGTAACCTAGATGTTCATTAGCTCCCAGGCTGGCTCAGACTGTTTTGTGCTGACCAGCCTCCCAGGCGAGAGCCTCATTGGTCTCCCCAATGCAGAGGCAGCCACAGCCTCAGGCACCGGCAGAAACCACTGCCTGGCCCCTGCTTCTGCAGGGCCTGCTCATCCGCACCCGTGCACACCAGCTCCCAACGCGAGCTGGCATCGGCACTAAAATCCCATGGGAACAAGACCAGTTCAGCCAGAAGTCAGACTCACGGGATCAAACCTACAAGGGGTAGGATATGCAAGGGAGGCATTTACTCTACATTCCATTTTCCTACTCCTCTCTGACCATCAGCTGTTGGCCACTGTCCTAGAAGGGATACTGAGCTAGACAGACCTTTGGCCTGACTCAACCTGTCAAGTGACACACATCACTGCAGAAATCAACTTTTGCCCTATGTATTTCAACACCGGGTCTCCCATTCTTCATATGTGAGATTCTGTGCCCTCTCACTATTTATATTTGATTCCATAATACCCAGGCAAGCAGCTAGAAGATGTTGTTGGCTGGTAAGCAGGCTCACAAATTTATTTTTTTCATACAATCTGTAACACACCCACACCATACACAAAACAACTAAAAAGCGTTACTCTTCCATGCCAGTTCTTCCCAGCTAGGAAGGAAAAACACTTCTTGCTAGAGCCAGTCATTGTTACCCAATAAACGTTAAGAAAAAGGCATCAGAAAAAGCCTAAACTCTGTTTTTCTACAGCTGCTTTTCTCCCTCCCTTTTCCTGAATTCGAAGGACTGAAGCAAACCCTAACCTCAGTCTATAGCCTGTCCGCTGCAGCTCCATTCTGCACATGTCTTTGTGGCACTCCCCATCCAGACACCAACCTGGCAAGCGCTGCACAACCACCAGATCGAGCTCCCAAGCCCAGGTGGCAATATTGGAAAGGCAGGTGCAGCTACCAGAACAACCAAGGAAAAACTGCCTGACCAGTTGGACCAGGAGTGTGCTGGGAATTAACCATTTCCACACCTCCAGGAACCAGATATCCTGGAGCCAAAAGTATCTTAGGGCAGGAAAACCCACAGATTAAGAGCAGGCCAACACCAGAGCCTAAAACCAAAGACTCTATCTTAGACTGCAAACAATTCAAGCCTGGTGAGTCTTTTACCCCTTCTACTGGGCAACACAAGGAGGCAGAGGCCATTTTTGCAAGACCCCTTCTGAGATATCGGCATAGGCAAGGAACAGAGATGCCCTCTCAACCAAGACCTCCGGACATCTCTTCCTCCACGCTCTGGTTCTCACGTCTCCTGGATACCAAACAACTAACGTGTCTTCACTCATAAAAGCAATTACGTAGCTTCACAATAAAGAAGTTTTCAGGGAGAGATTGTGGAATAACTGTACGTATTGCTGATCTTCGCATACCCGTCAGCACCTTAGAACTCCCCATCCAACAGCAGCAGCTGTTCAGAAACCCTCTACCATCTGCCTTCCACCCCCTCCCCAAGGAAGTCTTTTTTCCCCGCCCTGTAAACTAAACACTCAAAACGCACTTACCAAATTATCATATCAACCCATAACCATGCCTGATAATTACATCTTAAATCAAGATTTCTTCCACTGAATTTCAACCAAAATAAATACAGCATAGAGAACAAATGTATGCTTATAGTGAACAACCATTCATCAGCTTAAGTCACTCTAATGGACACCACTTTAAACTAAGCCTGTACCATCTGTTCTAACCCTCAATTAGAGAAACCAAACCATGCTTTGAATAAATTTTAAGAAAAACTAATTTATGTCAGTTTTATTTCTCTTCAGCTCAGTGAAACAAGCTCTTGTAATGCTTAAGATTAAGGCATTGACGGAAGTGCATGGCTGACTTTCCCCAACATAATTAGCAATTTTTGTCAGGAGAAATAAAATTTGTCTGTAATATTTCACCAGTTATTTTGTCTTAAAAAATGTGATGTTGCTGAAAAATAACAGAATCAATTAGGAGCTAGAAGAACCAAATCGGAAGTCCTGCAAGCACAAATGCACATCAGCCTCAGGTCAACCGCAGGATACCCAGCCCTGCACAGTGCCCACCCCAAGGGACGGGATCTATGTGCACAGCGAGGCCCTTGCAAGCACAACCTCCTTAGCCGCAGGATCTGTTGGAAGACCTCAAAGAGAGGCAGTCCTCCCCACCACTCGTCTGTCCCCCAGCTACCTCTGGCACTACTGGAAAAATATAGACCAGGCAGTGCCCGTTAGCGGCATTATGCCCCTGACAAGCACAGATAAGCACAGGGCCTTGCACAGGACCTCAGTGTCTGCTTCATGCAATACCTTCGTGCTTCCTTTACTTGAAAGGCATCCTGATTATGTGGACATCCTCTGTACCTCAGGCAGCCACCCACTATGGAGCAAAGACAAGCGACCAGGTAACAAGGGTGCTTGACAGAAGACATTTGACAGCTCAGTGCTATGAGAAGCATCTTGGGTCCGCCTCCTGTTTCATACATGATGCTTTTAGACTTGGATAGCAGCAAGGAAAGAGGAACATGTCTTCCCTCTCCCATGGCTGCCTTTTACTGCATCCCTCCAAACAGAAGATGGTATCATCTCCCTCCCAGAACTAAGGATAAGGATGTCACAAACTAGCATTATGTTCAAATAGAATCAATGTCCAAAAAACAAACAAATAAAACCTAACCAACCATGGTCAGGACTTACACAACGCAAAATTGTACTCCAGTGAGGTAGACAGCTTGAGCCCTCCTTGTAAAGGCTTAATAATTTCATCATCAGCTGGGGCTCTTTGGTCCGAACTCTGACCAGTACTGCCACACAGAAGTCACTTGTCTTGGACCGGCTGATGTTTCCCCAGCGAAAACATAAGCACAATTGTTCAGCTAAACAGTCCCAGACAGGCAGGCAGATGTCATGAATTAACTGAGCCCTCTCCCGATCTAATGGGTCTGTCATCCAAACCCAGGGTAAGTTTCAGAGAACAGTCTTTATTGCTAAAATTTTAAGAAATCTCAATCCTTGCAGATGGCCTCAATCTTTGCTTTAAATGTATCTTTTTTTCAGATCAAGGGAACAACGGACTGCAAATATAATAGCTTTTTTAACCACAACCAAACAACTGCAGTTTAGCTCTCCAGATGGCCATTCTAGGGCAGCGATGTTTGGCCTTTCACTCTCAGGGTTGTTACACTAATCCATGAACTCGATCAGACCGCATCAGCTACCCTATTCTCACTAACACCAGGCACAGCCAAGTTTCCACAATCCCCCACAAGCGGTATGGAAAGGTGACAACATTAGATACCAGCACTAAAACAAAATGGAGAGTGGCATATAACAGCACTAAGTCTTGGCCTGATGCTGAAGCAGGGTTACAGCACCAGGCTCAGGGCAGACAGCCTGTCTCACTCAAAGGTTTCACTCAAAGGCTGTACTGGCTTTTACCTTTTCTGGTTCCGCCTCAGTTGCTTGTGACATGAAGAGCAAAAGTGCATCCACACAGAAGACACAAACCAATATACCGCATTCTGGTTTCAAACAAAATTTCTGTTAGAAATATAGTTTAACTGAATCTGAGTATATTCAACTCTGGATCACAAGCAACCTATATGCTACTCTCTTCTTCACTTCCACAGCAAACAACTCCAGTTAAAAGCTCTACTCCACAGCACAACACAAGGTTAATTAGCTTCAGGCTTCAATCTGCAGGAGGTTTTTCCTCAGATTTTCCCAGACTCATGAGATAGGAACAAAATCCCTAGTTCTCTCTGAGCAACAGCTTAGGTACCCAGCTTGCCTCAGGAAACGACAAGGACGGGCATTTTTCCAAAGTGCACCCAAGAAACCCTCCCCACTGAGGAAACCAGAGTACATAAAGATAATAGCACTTCTTCACAAACACACATGGGAAATGGAAATAATAATTAAAAAAAATATAGGGTTAACAAGGGGTTTTAGTTCATTTTCTCGCTCATCTCTGTTCATGAAAAAAATCATCGAATCTAAAGGAAGACACATCCTGATTAGCTTTTCTGAGCCAACTGTAACAGAACAACAAATTGTACTTTAACTGCCACCAAAATTTAGAAAAAAATCTAGCTAGAATCAGTGACACTAAAAAGATACTGGCAGTGTATATGCTTGTGTGCATACACATATGCACACATATAAGCATTTTTGGGCAGCTTTAGAACTCTCCTCCCCCTTCCCCCCCCTTTTTTTTTTTAAACATAAAATTTCCTCAGCCTTGCCAACTGTGCTGGGATGATCAAAGCATCCCACAGGTGAATAAGGTATGCAAAAAAGTCTGGATATCAAAAAGCATGAATACCAAATATAAATCCATTTACTAAATTCTCACTTGCTAAGGTCTAACCATCATGAGTCCTCAATATCACATCAGCTACCTACTGTTTACCAAGAAATGGGATAAAAATGGTTGATTCAGTATAATTATCATTTTACAGACAGCACATTAAAAAGTCTACCACATAACTTCCATTTACATCAAGCATAACTAGACAATGAACCATCTAACTAATCACATTCCACCTGGGAAGTCTTACCTTATAGTTGCTGGAGTTTACCCAGGAAGTGGCCAGTCCATCAACCATTTTATCCAGCATAGTCTGATCATGTTCAAGATCAGTTGATTTCTGTTTATCCGAGAAGTAATCTATCAATTCCTGGCCAACCTGAAGTCTCTTTCCGACATCTTTCTGCAGCACCTGCGCTAAGCAATATTCCATACTGGGCTCCATAGTGTCTTAGAAATACAGCACCAGCAAGAAAGCTAGAGGGCAGCAGGTTCAAAAAATCCCTCTACAAGAGTACGCAGGAGGTCGCCTCTTTGTTCGATGAAGGTTACTGAGGGTCTGGATTTCAAAGATGCAATTCTGAGAATGGCAACAATGCACCATGTGTGTGTGAAGAGCAGCTGGCAGGATATTAAAAGTCCAATTTAAATAACTGGTAATAAATGAAGCAGCAAGCAGCGCTGTACTGTTGGTCTGCAATAATTCCCAATTCAGCAGTCCATTCTGAAAGAAATGAAAAAGAACAGTATTATAGGTTAAATTAAGAATAGAGGGAAAAAAGCATGTCACAAAACAGGTTATTCATGTATAGCTGCAAAGCTGTGATAAGTTGGATTGAGCAGTATTGGTCTATTTTAAGGGATCATACGAGATAGGTCAGGACAAAAACCTTCGGTTATTCTTTACAGAGGCAGTTACCCATCAGCTCCTTAGAGGCAGTTTTTATGACAGACAGTAAATCTGGCACTTGTGAGAATATTGTTCATGAATCGGCTCTCAACTACTAGAATCACCACCCACCCACAAAGGTAGAGACAAAATCCTCATCCAGGCCACCAGGAATATCCTGGTTTCAAGTACCACCATGTTTCATGGCCCTTGAAACGTGGAAATGCCATGTTTCAAGAAGTGAAGAGAAGAAGAGGCCTTGATCCTGTTTTGACTGTTAGTCTTCAGCAACCAATGCCACCAGCTGGCCTAAAAGATACAGCTCTAAAACACAGATTAACATTGGTAGCCAGTATTATGAAGTGAACAGTTCTCAAATGCAAAGCACTCAAGCTGTTCTCAGGCTGAATGCTGTTATATCACAGCTACACAGACTGAGGAAACAGCATTGGCCTCTTCTTTGCATAATACTGAAGAGACAGCTCCACGAACAGTACCTGGGATCCCTCAAGAATACAGGAAAGAAAGGCAGAGGCAAACTTTGCTGCCGCTCAGAGGAAGCACTATCCACAAACTAAACCTTTTGTTTACATTAAAAAAAAAATAAACAAACTGCTCTGCCTGAGGTTTGGTTATGTTTCCTAACTCTAGAGTCTCTCCCGCCCCATAACACAGGAACTGCATTAGGGATCTTCTGGGCAATGCTGCCAGTTGCAATTTCTGCTTCACAAGCAGCTGCAGCCTTTCTTTGTACCTCCCAATCTGCAGCCAAATTAATTCTTACAAACTGCCAGGGACCAGAGCTCCCTGCCTGTCCTCCAGCCTCCTTCAGAACGGGGCTCCTGCCATGGCCAACCACTTCCTGGAGTGCTCCTTCACAGGTCAGCTCTTTTAAGAGGAGATGACAGAGATGACCACAATCCAGAATAACTTTTTTCTTCCCATCTAATAATATCCAAAGTTAGAAGTCTGCCCTACTTTTTCTACCCGTGCGAGGAAAGCAGGTCAGGCTCAGTGCAAGGAAAGAGGCTGTGGAACAGACACCCTGCTCAATAAACAGCTGGAAGGAAGTTAGAGGCACAAGTTCACCAACTGGAAGCATCGGGGCAGCAGATCTATATACCTTCTGTTGAGGAAATAAGGCTTCCACAAAAGACTGATTTAATAAAGAGAACAGTGGATCTGACAGCAGATGAGATGCACAAACTCCAAGCCTGGAAACAGAAGCACACCTTGCAGGACTCTTTTTCAGTTCATTATCCTACCTTCACCCTCCCTGGGCAGACTTGTAAACTGCCATGTCCTACTAAACACAGCCACCACACACACCAAGGTGCCCACCTAGAGCTAGGGAACACAGTGGCTTGTGGCCCAGGGCTTTCCTTAACCTCACAGCTGCTGCAAGACACCTCGCAGCTGCCTGGGACTTGAGGGGCTGCTTATTCACCAGGCAGGAGTCACATAGAGATCCTCTATTCAGGGAGAAGGTTCGACTCTCCCCTGGGTGACAGCAATTAAACCTTAACCCACCCTTAAGCAGCAAGCTTGTGGTCAGCAATACAGACCTAGGAATTGATTTTTTTTCTGGCTAGAACTAACCCACTGGACAGCTCTGCATACTGCACTGCACCTTTACATACTGGCCCATCCCCTGCTCTCCAGCACGGGCTGGTGCTGCCCAGACAGGGCAACTCCAGTTCTAAGCAGCAGAGTGTAACGCACAAGAGCCTCTAAGCACCAACAGAGGAGGGTTTTCAAACAACCACTTCACCAGGTACCTGGCTAGCAGTCAATTACTGGGGAAGGGATGCAGAGATGCTTATCTGTTGCCATGCTCTAGCTGAACTGTAGAAGTTACTACTGTGGTTTCTGGACACCAGATGCAAATTGTGCTAAAAATCAAGAGAACACGGTTGGAAAAAAAGGGTTTCTTAAATGTTCTTAAAATGGAAACCTGGAACCTGTTTAAACTTGAAAATTAATTCAGATTCCCAAAGGGTGTGAATGACTGTTGGTTACAGCAGAATAGCCATTTCTGATTAACTTCACCTATAGACAAGTCTCAACACATCCAAGAAAACATTAGCTAGCCAGACTGCCATGAGAATGGAAAGTTCAAAGTTTCTACTCTTTCTTCTATGTGGTTTTCATTTAGAAGTTTCTAAGTCTCTGCCTCTAAGCAAACTTTAAAGCAAATTAATTTAAACAAATTTTTGTAGGAGTTCCTCTTGTTTTTCTTAAACATTATGCAAAGGAAAGCATAAAAATAATTGTGTTGCTCTGCAGAACATATTTGTGTCTTAAGTTTGTGGACTCAAGTCTAAAGATGTACTGAACATAAATACCTCTGAATCCTGGGGAGGTCAGAAGCAACAAGCTAAGACGAAAGCTCAAGGCTGGCTTATAAACACCTCTTGGCTGGTAGATAAGTGACACCACTCTTTCTCCAAGGGTTGGGGTCTTGGTTTGTTCTTTAAAAAGCACTTACATGGTCATGTTAGGAAGCCTATTAATTCTCCCTCTTCCTCACAAGTGGAAAAATACCATCAAGTAAAACCAAGTACCAGTTTAGGTTTGACATAATCCAAGCTGCAGACAAGACAACCCACAAGAAGTAAAGCTCCTCTCCCCACCACCATTACTAAATACATAAAGATTTCTCATTCACTCTTAGGTCATCAGAACTAAGTACTTGGCCAAAATTTCTGCTAGTGACACACCTAGATTTTTCCTTCAAGAACTATCCAGCAGAAACTCACAAAAGTTATAGTTTAATGACAGTTCAGGGCTCAAAAATATAGATTTTTAAAGAGATGATAAAGACTCAACAACCCAAAATTACTCAGATACTATCACTCTACCACCAAAAAAGTCCATACAATTCACACCAAAGCAATCAGTTCAGCATGTAGAATTAAATTAAACAGTACTGAGGAAACACCTTGAATTCTGTGGAAACATTAAATGGAGTATGTAAAACAACAAATGTTTTTCAGTGTTTAGAACTCACCCTAGCCTAAGTGAAAGTCTGCATCATTTTGTAAATGTAAATTAAGAGACCAGGATGTTTTTACAGGAAGTTTTACATCTTCCTCTTCCACTTGCATTGAGTGAGGAAACAAGCAGCATGCAGAACAGATGCAATGCTACTGTCCCAAAGGCTTATCTGTACCTGACAGCACTTCCAACATACCCTTCTACTTTAAAAATTACACCTTGCTTTCCCTCCACTCTAACCATCACGTTTAGTTACCATCTTCATCATGTTTCATTATCATCCTCATCTGCAGACAGACCAGGGCAGGTCACAACCTCCCCAGCCAGCTACTAAAAGGGCTGCAGAGTGACAAAGTGCTGCTGCCTGCAATTGCTACAGGTGACTGCAAATGCTGCTGGACTGGCTGTCCTGAGCCTTTCCTCACCACCTTTCAGCCAGGAAGTTTGACTTTTATACAGCTTCCAGACTTGACATCACTTCTTTGGTGTAATATTTTTGTGTGTGGCTATAGCACAGCAGTTGTACAGGTAACACTAAAGCACAATTGTACCAACAAACCTCCTCTTTCAGAGGTCTCAGCACCTAATTGCAAACTTGAGTTCCAAATTAGTTCAAGGTGCATTAGACAGACACCTCCTTGAACCTTGACTTCCCACAACAAAAAACTCCCTCAGGAGAACTCCACCCTAGCAAAATGCAGCAGCTTTTTTAAACAGAAAGGTACCAACCATCAAGCTCTCAGTTGTCCACTGTTAGTAAAGGTGTAAATATTTAACCACTGGGTTTACCAACAAGACACTCTTGTGCAAGAAGTTCGTGCAAGGACAAGGGCACACAGAAATAAAGTATTCAAAGACCAGATGCAGGTCTCATCTGCAAGGAGTCCAAAGCTTAGTCTCGGTGTAATGGTTGGTGATTGTCAGCCTTCTATCTCCTCCTTGCCATGTCTCTTCCCTCCCGCCTCTTCAACTGCCCAATTGTCTGGGCAATTCCTGCCCAGAGTGGATTTGCTGCTAGGTCTTTACAGAGTATTAAAATACTGCAGGGCTCAACTGGATCTCCTCTTCCTCAGATGTGTAAGGAGCGGTAGATAAAGCATCAGTGCTGACACTTCTGGGTCTTCAAGTACTCTTTTGCGAGTGTGTGCGCAAAGCCTAGGGGAGAACAAGGTAGCAAGCAAGCATCAGGCAATCTATGGAAGAGTCAAGCACCTTTCATTCTTCAGGAGCCAAGAGCAGATGGCAGGAGTTACCCACCCAGCAATTAGCAGGAGGTCTCTCCCTGTTGTGAAGCTGTCTCCATGGGTAGGCAATTATGTTCCTTTTAATGCCCAGGAATGTTTCACAATCACTGTGATTGTTTTAGATTAGTAATTAGCGATAGCTTTCTACTTCAGCTTCCCCTTCACCCAAAGATGTTTTTAGATTTCCAGCTTGACAAGGCCAAGACAACTCATGCCTTTTAAAAAAGAAGTTACCGATTAGCTGAGGGAACAACCCTGTGCTTTGCTCAGTGTACTAGTTGCATTGCCTCCCTGGGTGAGATGACAGATACGCTTCAGCTAATAGGAATTCTTCTGCCTCGGTAACCCAGCACCTCATACAGAGGCACCAATTTCACGGAAGCATCAACCTTCAGAGATTCTCCACAGTAATGAGGTTGCAGCAAATCAAAATTACTTGTCAGCTTGGTTAAGACCCGAATGTGACCCCAACACCTTTCCAGCACCATCCAACAGAGCAGCAGTAACTCTTCAAGAGCAGGATAGGTAACTGAGTTTTCATGTGCTTTGTTTTCCTTATACAGCCCCCATTTGAAATTAGTTCGGTTTTTA